CTGATTAGTAGGACATTTAGTAGGACAACTGTTGCATTGTTGTTTGTGCCCGTTAAAAAGGTAAGAAAGGTCAAAGCTTATTATTACTTGGAAGGGAAATCCCAGGAGACAAGTCTAGACTGGAAAGTTGAAAAAAATCTATCTGAAGGAAGACAGTGATAAACCTCTTATACCTGGTTGCCAGGAGAACTAAATGGCATGTCCAAGGAGTCAACAGGAGTTGAGTTCAGTACGAGAAAATCATTATCTTTTTCTAGGTAAAATAATTTGCAAAAAACCTGGCAGAGCAGAATGATAGTTGAATTTATCCCATATCATGCCCACTGATTTATGCCTATCTTGGCATAGTTAGTCAACATGTGAACCTGCAATAGCAAGAACATTACTACCACCAGTGCAAGGATGCTGCACTGTTACCTTTATTATTTTATTTATTATTTTATACAATTAATTCATTTCAGCAAAATGTGTCAGGAATCAGGTTTGCTACTTCAAGGTATGGGCCATGCAGTCAGAAAGTACCATGTTTGCTCAGTGTCACTGAAAGAAAATAAATAATTAAATTGCTAAAATTAGTCAAAGCTTGAGTAACAATACATGCTTGAATTGATATGCAGAATAAAAAGTATCAAACCTTAAAGCTGTCAATTGCTTAAAAAGATATTAGTTGATTAATTGTATGAGTTAATCAGTTATTCAATTAAATTTTCACTAGTGTGAATATTGTCAAGCAATGGATAGCAAGTTGTATCATATATAGCCTCTCTTCTTTGGAAAAAAGATGTAATTTTCCCCATCAAAATGGTTTTGTCTACAATTTGTTTATGGCATTTTTGCTTATCCTGATACCTGTAAAAGCTTCTTTGGAAATTCTGCCATTCCTTTTTCCATAAAGATCCATAATCAAGTGGGGAAAATGTATTACAATGAGAAAAAAGTCTGAAAAATTATTTAGGATACATTTTGGACTGGGGAAATAAACCACAAAGAGAAAGGAAATTCATATTTTACAAATAGAGTCTTGCACACAGTGGGAAGCAGATGCATAAATGTATTTGGATAGTGCATAAATATGTGTGGCATTATTTATAATTATATTAATTAATGTAAATAGCATTCATACAAGCAAATAGCATGGGCAAAGAAGCATTTGGCAGGTAATTGACCATTTTTATTTTAGTTACGAAAAGCAAGCAATTTACTTTTCAGTTGAAGCATTTTAATACCAGGGTCCCTTGGGAAATGGGGTTCAGAATTAATCTGCAGTAAAATAGCTGGGCAATCTGGTAATTTTGAAATGAATCTAGATATGGTTAGTAATTTTATGGCTGAGGAAAGACCAAGAGACAGATGTTGGATCTTCATGCTGAATACATTGACCTATCAATCTGGCTAGAAAGCTAAGATAAATGCAGCGTATGCGCAACACATTAAATAAGTGGCCTTAGGGGAATTACTCATTTTCCTCCTCATTCTTACGTGCTAAGGAGATTATTATAAAAAAAATTAAATCATTGTTTTTATTGTGGTAAATAGACAGAGTTTCTAAATAAATTTAGAATAAATGAAGAAATAAATCTTAAATAAATCTTAAGATGACATCTTCACCACCTTGGGGGAATGTTGTCTCTATTTTTGTTTCTGAGATTTGATGTTTTGATTTTAAGATTTTAAGCTTTGATGTTTTAGCCTAATAAGAGTAATTAGTATGCCCACCAACTGACAGTTCTTTCTCCTGTTAGAAACATAGTTATCTTTGTAACTCATGTATCTGATCCTTAAAAGCGGTTTCACAGTTCAGTGAGATTTAATCAAACTATTTGGTCACCTTTATTTTCCTGTGGTCTAAATATCTATCCATTGCAGTAAGAACTAAGTTGCCTTTTTTACTGTATTGACAATTGGCTGAATTGACATTTTTACCAGATATATTTAAAGTTATTACAGAAGGAAAATACTTCATTCTTTTAATTTATATCAGTTTCATATTCATTTAATTCATATCAGTTTCATTCCTGCTGTTTATATTATTTTGAAATGGATTGCAATATATCCAGATATAATTTATTGGGGTGGGGGAGAGTCATATAATATGAGGTATTTAGAAGGAATGAAACATTAATTAAAGCAACTTCTTACAGATTGACTATGTTATCCTGTTCTAGGAATTATTTCCTTTCACTATGACACAGACGGAAGTTAGAAAAGCTGTGGATGATCCTGTTTGGCTCCTTAGCTAGGCCATATAAGTTTAATATAAAACTGGCAAGTGGCAAGTGTGTATGCTGCTGTTAAGACAAAATATATAGTCACTATATTAATTGTATCAGGAATTAAATCCAATCAGCCTCCTTAACTGGGAATTTTTATTGCAGGGATAAACTTCGGTGTTCAAGGCTGGGTTTTGGATTGGTTGGTCACCTTAGGGAATGAGCTACATTTTGCTTCTGCTTAGCCCAGGTGTAGGCAACCTTGGCTCTTTTATGACTCGTGGACTTCAACTCCCAGAATTCCTGAGCCAGCATGGCTCAGCTTGGAAACCTCTCCCTTTCCCCTCAGCATGGCTGGCTCAGGAATTCTGGGAGTTGAAGTCCACGAGTCATAAAAGAGCCAAGGTTGCCTACCCCTGGCTTAGCCTTTCAACATCTTTAGATGTAATTGAATGTGGCTTTGTTTCAGGCTTTCTAAGCTGAAAATTAGGGACGCTGTTTTGAGATGCTCTTTGAGATGTCTGAGGGGCAGCTGATGACAGAGAGATTGCTGGTTGGACCCTTTGCTTTTAAGTTATAGGAGCTCTTGAGTGCCTCTTACCTTCCATGCTTTTTAACCAATACGATATATTAAACCTTTTTGGAATTGGGAGTATTCCAGGCGATGTCATCGTATAGATAATATCCATCAATATTCTTATCAGTTGAGGTAAACCAGTAAGATGAGCCAGAAGTGGATTGAATGTGGATCACTTTTCTGAGGTTTATTTTAGCCAATTTAAGAATGCTGTTGGTTAGCAAAAGTGAAACAGAGAAAAGGTAACCTCTTCTGGATAGGATTTCAGTTTTCTTGAAAGCCAAACAATTTGGAAATATTTCTGGATCTGACTTTTCTTCTAAATGCCCAGATGTATTTATGCCTAATGTTAGTTTGCAATGAGCATTAACCAAAAATCTAGCTTCTGATCTGGCTTCTGTTGACTGTAATGCATTGCTTGAAAAGTATTTCTAAGCTATTCCAAATGCACAACTTTCAATAAGCAGGCTGTTTTCTTCAATCTGACATCACTTCAATAATGTTTAGTAAGCCCTGGATTTGGCTTATTTCCAAAGTACAGCTCAATGTGCTGATTCTTATCTAAATGATAGGGAATGAGAATATCAGAAGGATCACCTTCTTGCCTATGATTTTCCTTGATTATACTTACTTCAGCATCAAATACCTTATATCACATTTCTATTATTGATCTCTGCTTTACATGCAGCAGTGAACAATTTTAAGTGATAAATCTCATCACGTGGCAATTACTTGTCACTTAGCTACATGGCATAGAAATTCACTCAGTCATAATGTTTCATTCATATATAACACGAAATGTTCCGCAAATAATTGTTTTAGTTCTCCTTTCATTTATCTTATAAGAGATTTTATTTTATTTCTACACTGCATCCGTATTATAGACGGGAAATAAGAGAAAGCCAATAAACTAAGATTGTAAAACCTTCAGATTCCCTCAAAACCTAAACTGTAATCTTTAGAGCCTCCTCAAATTTGCCACCAAATAATATTTGTTGGTGCTGTAATGCTTAAGATTTCAATTTGAAGAGATTCTTCAGAACAGAAAAGAGCCCAAGTGTAGCATTTCTCTCTGCTTTAGCAACCTTGTCTTTTGCAGTTTTCCTATCTGCTGTGAGGAGGCTTTCATTGTAGTCATACAATTCTACCAGACAAATCTTCTATAAGTGCTGCATCTGTGCTTCTGTGTATTCCAATTTGTGAAGCTTTATCTAATATAGCAATTTCTAATATAGCAATGAAAAGGTTGTTACGTGCATGGGGAATGATTATTAAACATGCAATTCTAATAATATATATTTAAAATAAATAATAGGATTTTTTTTTCTTTTCCCTCTCGAATTTTGGAAAGTTGATCTATGGCATGCCACTGTGTCCTTTAGTTCCAGAAATGTTATCAGTAATATCTATTTGTAATAGATCAATAGGTTCAAATAAAAGCCAGATCCCAGAAGTGAGATCTGTGACGGCTGAACACAAAATACACGTGCGAAGATACCTGCTAAATGAGCTTGTATGATCCACCCAGTCACCTATATGACACTGTCCCATGTAGGGCTTTTTAAAAACTATTGTACAGCCTTCTGAAATCCGAAAATAAAAATAAATAACTAAAAATAATATTTCATAATACTCAGGTAGAAACCACACACAGAACCTACATAACTTGATTGTGTGGCTCTAGATTCCCATTTCCCTGGAATTATAGTGAATAAGTGATAGCTTGTAGGGGTTAGATGAAGACTAAGAATTGATGATATAGCTGTCATGTGTCTGATTAATGAAACACTTAAAAGGACTTTCAGGCATATTTTTTCCTAAAAGCATTTATTAAGGTTACAGAGACGTCAGTACAGCATGGTGGAAATGCTTAGGTCTGGCTTCTCTTCCGTTACGCATATACATTCTAAGCATTTCCCACCCCCTTATTTTGGGGTCATGGTTCACATCTTCCAATCAAC